AAGAAGCCATGGGGAAGTTTGGAAAGTTCTGCAGGAAACAAGGAGACAAATCAGGATCCAAGGATGGATTTATACCATCATAAATTCAAACACCTTTTGGACCATATGGCTTCAGGAGTTGTACTCCTCCATGCATTGTGCATCTAATTGTCATGTCAGATAAGGAGGAGAGTTCAATGATTTGTATCTCCTTGACATTTACCATGTCCAGAAGGTATATGTAGGTGTAACGGAAACCAAGAGATGACGTCATTCCTGCATGTCAATCAGAAGATAGAGCAGGAAAGGCGGAGTCAGAATGACAGTTAAGACAGCTGGAAGAGACAGAGACAGGGTTGGAATAAGACAGGGATGGAGATAAGTAGGGACAAGAAGATGTGGAGAGAGTGCTAGGGCTTAGGAATAGATAAGAAGGGGTTAAGAAAGGAAATTGAAAGAGTAAAACATATTGAGCAAGCAGGAATGACCACATAAGCATATTATAAGAAATACCAGTGATTGAATACATGATCTAATATATGCACACCTGACTCAGTTATATATTTGATTTTCCTGATGATCTGTTCATTAATAAAAGAATGTTTAATTGAAAACCCCTGATTCCTAAGTTATATGATCAGCTCCTATGTGTGTGGGATTTGAAGTGGTATTAAGATAATAGCTGGTGGCAGCGAAAAGGGCGTATTTACCTTTGTAGAGCCCACAGACATAAAGGGGGATCGCCACAGTAGTTATTAGGATAGCTGGTAGATTCTCCCACCCAGAGTATCTATTCCATAATAGTTCAAGCACTGACTGTGGATAGTCATCTAACAGGGAATCAGAAAGAGCCAGGAAACTGAATGCTGTGTGCAGCTGAAACATTGCAACTATTATTGCATCACCATGGATGTCTTTCTGATGCAGAACTACTCAGGGTTATTGTTCAAAGGCCATCATATTATTGGTGGGTTTGTTCAGCCATTTCCTCTAACAGGTCAGGAGTTTGATTATAAACATGTTCAAAAAGCGACATTATTTTATTTATTTTAATTTCATGTATTTATAGCAGCAAAGGAGTTGTCCCTGACCCCTGCGCTCAGAATCAACATCTTCTTCCTTATATATACCCCACATACTTGATTGGAGAAGCAGCAGTAGCCTTTCAGAGAACTCAACCCACCAACAACAAACAAACAAAGCTGTCCTGGTTGCACCGTCCATGTTCTGGATCTGGCTTCATTCTAGATTAATATTTACATACATCAAAGCAATGGATTTAAATTTTCAATCCATAAGAAATGTCATGAAATGTCACGGCATTTCTTAATGCCATTCCTCATTTTGTAGACAAAGATCCTGAAAAACAAGGAATTTGTGTTTGCAGGGAAGAGAGGAAGGTTGCTGTAGCAGGAATCGTAACAGCCCAGTCATAGACGTCTGAGCAGCGTACATATGAACCTTTGTTACTTTCCATGCCATTTCATCTGGGATTAAATGAGGTTTATTTGCTCTAGCCTGGCATGTTATTTTTTTAAACCTGCCATTGAGTTCTCCAGTGGAATTCCACGGCTTCTTTTGTGTGCTGTACATTTCTGCTTTTTGGTTCTCAATCAGACATTTAATTCAAAAACGGAGCATTCGGTAAAAGGTCACAAAGAGCTCCACAGCACACACATACATCATATTCGTGTATTTACCTGATATGTGCCTTTTCTCTGGTGAGCTGAAGGCAGAATACCTGGCTCTCCTCCCTTTTCCTCACAACAACCTTGTGAGGAAAGTGAGTCCGAGAGATTCTGACAGGCCTAAGGTCACCCATAGCCGAGTGAAACTGTATCTCCTGATGTTTACTCCCACACTTTTATCATGTGATCAATCAAGAGACACCACACACAAAAAATGAATCAAAATGGAATCCCCTCACAAGAGAGGCAGGCACACAACAGCACTTGGCCTCTGTTCGGAAAAGGAAAGAAAAATGAACCCAGACGACCTCCAGCTCATCGGCAGACATTATGGCACCTCCGTTCTTTTATGGACCAGTTTCAAAACTGACCTCAGCATCACATCACTCTGTAGACCTCTTCCAGCTGACATCCAGGACCAGAGTATAATTCTCAATTATGCTAACACGGCCTTAAACCATTCAAGAGCTCTAAAGAGGGTGCAAGATGTAATTGACAGCTCCCCAAAGAGGAGAGGAGAGAGTTCTGAGCGCACACAGTGGGGCAGTCATTCAACAGACGATTTATTTCACTTCTTGGACTGGGGATGAAAGCAGCCATATGAGAAGCAGCTTTTCAAATGGAAGTTGACAATGTATAAAGACTGGCAACATATATTAATAGCAAATTGTTAGACTAAAGCAGAGAAATAAATGTTGCTGGGGTAGGTTTTTTCTTCTTTTCTTTTTGCTAAAAGAGTTGCAGTGATTTTGTTTTCTTTGACTAGCAGTCAGTAAGAAAACCCAGCCCCTCTTGTTCATGCAGTCATATTGAAATTCTAAGTTATCACAGACATGAGTAGAAATGGACACTTCATATTCATTTCCCTGGAAAAACAAATACGAACTGCGGCACCGCAAGTTTGGTGGCCCAATCCCACCCTCCAGAACTGGCCAGGCCACTTACCGGGCTCTGTGCGGTTCTTGTCTCCACCATCCACACCATCATGCCAATCTTGGAAGGAGCCCAGCCAGCCCTTCCCTGCCTCCCTGACCACTTCAGCACAGAGGCAGGATGGGGAGTCACCTCCGGTTCATATTTGTTCATCTCCAGGGAAATGAAGATGAATTGCCCATGTCTATATGTGAGCTGACAAGCCAATGAGTGAAACATGACAATTGGTCACGGGATACTGACTTGCAAGCTCAAAAAGAAAATAACTGAGAAAAATAATATTGTCTTCTCATTAATGAAGCTTATGAACCTTCCTAAGGGACGTGGTGGTGCTGCGGGCTAAACCGCAAAAGCCTGTGCTGCAGGGTCAGAAGACCAAGCAGTCGTAAGATCGAATCCATGCGACGGAGTGAGCTCCCGTCGCTTGTCCCAGCTCCCGCCAACCTAGCGGTTCGAAAGCATGCAAATGCGAGTAGATAAATAGGGACCACTTCGGTGGGAAAGTAACAGTGTTCCGTGTCTAAGTCACACTGGCCATGTGACCACGGAAGATTGTCTTCGGACAAACGCTGGCTCTATGGCTTGGAAACGGGGATGAGCACCGCCCCCTAGAGTTGAACACGACTGGACAAAAATTGTCAAGGGGAACCTTTAACTTTACCTTTATGAACCTTCCTAACACCCCTATGAAATAGATTACGCTGAAACATAGTGGCTTCCTCTAGGTGAGTTACACAGTTGAATATGAGTGATAACATGGCTGTCCTCTATCTGTACCCCAGTTGCAAACACTCCATCTTGCAGGTCTCCTTCACTCAATAATATTAATATAGAATATATCAATGTCACCATGTGCTATCCTTAGGAAGTGGTAGACGGCACCACCCTGGCTTTGTCCTCTGTTTATATGTTATCTGCCCTGCCCTTTTATTTTCCCATTTTGTGGATACCATTCTGAATAAAAAGCAACACGATTTTAATTTCCACAATAAGACCCCCTCCATATAGTATTTCTCAAGAATTAACAGGGGAGCTTATTTATACAGGACTTCTCTCTTGAATTACACAGGTCTGAACAGCACGTTTTTGGTTATTCACTGATTTTTTTCAATAAATAAATTTCAGTCAACCAATATTCATTACAATGGTCCCTCAACTTATGAACTTAATCCATCCCAGATGTTCTTAAGGCGAAACATTTGTAAGTCGAATCAGCATTTCCCATAGGAATGCACTGAAAACCAATTAATCCATTCCGGCTCCTTTTTGTTCTTATGTAGAGGCACCGTTTGTAAGTCGAAGCATTAGTTCCCATAGGAACTAATGCAAAACCAGTTAATCCGTCCTCTACCACTAGGGGGAGAAAATTTTTTTAAACCTAAGATGACTTAGGTTAAAATACAGGGCAGGAAAGGAGGGAGGGAGAGAACGAACACCTTTTAAACAAAACATCTTTAAAACCAAGCAGCTTTAAACCAAACCAAGCATATTTTAAACTAATTTTTACCTTTTAAAATGACAGTACCAGTCAGTACCAGGCAGTCCAAAGTCCATTTCCCTTCTCCCCCATGTTTTTTTTTGTTTGCAAGCCGAAGCAAAATTTTGCAAACGGAGCTCTTCGTCAAAATGTTCGTATGTAGGGGCGTTCATAAGTCAAGGCACCACTGTAAATACAGTAAATGCTCAATAAATAATGTGCTCCTGGCCCCTCAGAATCTCACAAGTTCAACACTGAAGGCATCAAAGTGGTCTGCTTGCCCCCAAACACAGCATCTCTAAATATTCAACCTCTAGATGTATGGTTTTCAAACTTATGTCCCCAAATGTTTTGGGACTGCAACTCCCAGAAATCCTGGCCATCACAGCAAGTGGTGAAGGCTTCTGGGAATTGCAGTCCAAGAACATCTGGGGACCCCAGTTTGAGAACCACTACTCTAGATGAGGGAGTCATAAGGACCTTTAAGGCTCATTTCACATGGCATTGTATGGGAAGGAGAACCCTGATAGATCTCTCTCTCTCTCTCTCTCTCTGAATCAACTGTTCATGCTTTGTAGTTACTTTTTTGAGACATGAGCTATACACAGATTTCAAACTACACCAGAATCCGGCACCCCTAACCCCAGTGTTGTTGAAGGGAGAAATGTATAGTGTTTCTACTTGTTGTATTCTACATCACTTCTGAGACTCATGAGGACATCTGCTGAAGGGCTCCTCGGATCTGACCTGGCCCTCTATGATAGCTTCAGCTGCTGCAGTCATAAGGCTGTGATCCATCTTAGCCTGATGTACCCTCCCACATCTGTGTTTTTAATAATCTTCCTGTGTTGATGCAAAACTCTCTGTTGTTTTAACACCTGCTTGGAAGAGTTTCTTTCTTTCTTTCTTTCTGCACCATGACTACTCCCAGCACATAACAACAATACTACTCGTATAGATCAACTGAATAGGATGTGTGTGTGTGCATATGTGTGCAGCAGCTGTACTCTTCTGAGCTGCTTTCAGCCTTTAAAAAGGTGCAGGCATGACTTCCAGTTTGTCAAGCAGCAATACACAAAGGCACATGGCCATTTCCCCTCCAGCAGGAAGAAGCGAATCAGCTGCCTTAGTGTGGAGAGAGGTAAGCAATTCATGGCCATTCTTGGATCGATTTGGCACAAGCCCAGAAGCATGGGCTAGAATGTGAACCGTCAAAGGTTGGGTTTGACTCAAGGTGGGTTGATAGTCTGCCAGGGTCCCATTCTTGAAAAAGCTGGTGTCCAAAAGACATAATGTCCTTCTCTTGAATGGTGAAACCAATTCATCAGCACGTTCTCTTTGACTTAAACAAATATGCTTCAGAGCTCATGATCCCGAAAAATAAATGATTGCTTCAGTGTGAACTACAGAGCGTGTGAGTAAAGTTATGGCTTGGTGTTATGTTTTGTACTAACAGTCTTGAGAGGGAAGCTTGCAGCTGGCCAGATAGAATGTTGCTTTATATATGTAGGTTTGTGCCTTGTTTTTCAGGAGGGTTACAGCAAACTGTTATAAATGGCAGCAGTGCCTTCTCCTATAAAGCCATATGAAAGCCTTTCACTGTTCATATAGATTGAATTTTCCCACTCAGAGGCTACCGAGAACAACCACATGGAAACTTTTAATTAAGCAGTGGAATGGATGGCTTTCTGGAAGAGCTAAATGGTTTTCAATGAAGTAGCTGTGTTAGTCTGTCTTAGCATGCTGGCAAAAGCAAAGGGGGAAAAAGGCAAAATATTGTAGCACTTTAAAGAGCAGCTGTTTTATTTCCATGTGGGTTTATGAGGACCAAAGCCACTTCTTCAGACTGCAAATACATGTGTCCTGTATTTATTCCTTGGTAGTGAAATCCATGTCTGGGTGAGAAAGCAGATAACAGGCAAAGTGGCAATGGTTCATTAACAAAGGAATGTGACTATCGAGCTGTTAATTAGCAGATCCTAAACAAGGAGGAAGACTAGATAGACTTAGTTGTCACAGGAATGCTAAGAGTTGTTTAATTTTGAGGAGCAAAGAGTGTACACAACATAATAGAAAGTACAACTTGCCAAAGAATTCTAAAGGAAAGAGTCTCTCTCTCTCTCTCTCTCTCTCTCTCTCAGCTCAAAGCAAAAGACAAAGGAGAACAGACATAATCTGTGAGGAAGCTGCCTTCTGGAAGTAAAAGGAGATGGTCTCATGGAGGACACACTCATTTCAGTGCACAGCCGTACATGCATTTGAATGCAGTACATTGTCAGAGGGAAAGGATTTCTATCTAGAAGGGGAGGGGAAGTCTAGAAGCCACACCAGTACGATGAACACAGGAAGCAATGCTTTCAAAGAGACGACAAGGTAGCAACATGCATTAGTGTTCCCATGAGTATTAAGGGCTTTTACAAATAGAGCAAAAAAAGGGGAACTAAAGAGACAGAAAGTAGTTTTATCAATAAATAAAGAGCAGTTTAGATTAACGACAACTCTAGAATGAATCACTGATGTTCATTTTTTTAAAAATAACTCTGTATCGGAGAAAAGCAGAAGGGGAAACTGCCTCAGTGTTTATGACTTGCTTTATACTACTCAAGACAGCATGGCGACACCACATGGGAACACTATGACTCTGATCTGGAGAAATAAAAATGCCTCTTTAGGACTGTGTCAATGGTAACATTTGGCTGGAATGGTTTACATAGATTAATATTAACACTCATCAAATTTTTATTGTAAGATTACATTGGTTCAAAGTACGTATCTAATAGTTCCTTATTACCCTCACCAGACGGCAGATCTGCAAAGAGAGGATCAAAGTGGGGAAGCCCACCATTTGTTGTGTAGGCATGGAAGGAGGCATTTTTGCTTGCAAACATCTGTAAAACAAAACTTGTAATGGCAGGATCGCAGGACCTGATCTTCACACAAAAATGGGCAGGTGCAAATAGAGAGTAACCCAGAGCACAGATGCCGGCCACAGAGACTAGGCAAAACATTAGGACGAACAACCTTCAGAACATGGCCAAAGAGCCCGAAAAACCCACAACAACCAATCCAGATGTTATTGGATTCTCTGCACTGCAATGGTGAAGAATCATAACAGTTGCACACTGATGGCATCCACATGTTTCCCATCCCTAGAACTTGCTCAGGTTCTGTCCTTTTTGTGCCTGTGTGCAATTTTATACATGTACTGTTTAACATTCTGTTTTCATTGTTAAACTTTTCTGTACTTCTGCCTGAAGAGTGCAAAAAGATATATATAGGAGCCAACCTGTTGCCTTGAGTCCCCTTATATTGAGAAAGGCAGCCTATAAATAAAACGAACAAACCTGCAGAAGCCAGCTGGGGAGTCAATATTTGGCACTATGTTCAGAATGTCACAGTGGTAGTCTTGCATGTAGATGTCAAACATGAGCTATTTGTATTGGTATCCCTGGGGATACGAATAAGAATAGCAGTACCACAGGTGTCATGAAGGCTCGTTCCCTCGTCCCAGAACCAGCTGGTCCACCCTCTGGTCACCACACAATGCTGGGGTCCTTTGTTGTCATCCTGCCTATCTGGGAAGGAGCCCAGGCAGTGCTTCCCCACTTCCCCACACAGCCAACCACTCGGTGAGGAAATGAGACAGAGAATCTCCCCACTCAGCTGATGAGTGGTCGATTGCGCGGGGAGGTGGGGAAGTGGCAGCCGGGGTCCTTCCTGGATTGATGCGATGATAATGATGACAAAGGACCCAATGTTTCAAGGTGACCAGTGAGTGGACTGGCCAGTCCTGGGGGGAGGGTATGGGTTTCTGTGGCACCTGTGGTCTGCTATTTCTATTCATATTCCTAGGGATATGAATACAAATAGCCCATGTCTAGTAGATACCCAGTGTGGTGTAGTGGACAGAGTGATGAATTAGAACTCAAGAAGCTAGGTTCAAATCCCCATTCTGTCATGGAAGCTCACTGGGGGAGTGGAATTGGTAAAACCACTCCTTAAATATCTCACTTACCTTGGAAGCTCTATTAGAGTCACATTGACTCTGACTTGATAGCACGTAACAATATTGCACAAGCAGGTTGGACGTAATTATTTCTGTGGGTAACAACTGGACAATTGGGAGAGAGAGGAGATATACTTACAGTTTATCTGGGAGTATGAGAGTCAGTGTAGTATAGCTGGGCTAAGACTCAGAAGACTTGGGTTCGAATCCACACTTGGCCATGGAAATGCATATTTTCCATAACCTTGAAAAACCCTATTAAGGTCACCATAAATTGCAAAGAACCTGATGGCATGTACAGTATATTTGGCCAAAAAAAAGGGTGTATATGTGGATCTATCTCCCAGACTTCCCAGTATACTAATCACAGAAGGACCTTTTCTCTCACTCTGAAAACAACAACAAAACATGTAAATTGAGCACTGCTCTTTGGATGCACGTTGGCAATTTGTAAATAAATGAATTGGAATATATAAATTTTTAAAACTTCAGATCAATTGTTGGCTATTTATTCAACAAAATATTTCATCAAGGTGACTTCCCAAGAGAAGCAGATGGTAGAAAAATTTAAAGGGTTTAGAAAAGGGGCAGTAAACCAGCAACCCTCCAAATGCTGTACTTTAATTCCCATCAGTCCTAGCCAGAATAGCTAACGACAGGATGAGACTCTGAGTTCTGCAATATCTTGAGGTCCATGGTGTGACAAACCCAGACCTACTGGGATATGCCACAGTTTCACTAAGCTGCCACCAACCATTCCCTATAAGAAGTCACACAGACCAGGGATGGATTTTTAACAAATAAAAGAACAAGGTTTATTAAATAACACACAGGAAAAATAAAAGGATCAAGTGAATAAGATACAGTAACGTGGCTTAGTCTCAATCATACATACACACAGTTTGGTTCACACAGAACACTTAACTTGAAGCACAGACCCTGAACCTATCAGTTCTGGCTAACCATACAGACACCTGAACCTATCAGGTTGGTACTGACTGACACACAGTAGTACCCTGTCTGACACACAGACTCCCACTCAAGCTTCTTCTCTCAGCTCTCTTCCAGCTTCT